ACAGCACACAGATATTTGAAGGCTGCTTTCCTGTGTTCTACCTTAGTCTTTCCAAAGTGAAGACTTGTTTTCCTTAACTATTCCTCATTTGTTATATTTTCCCTTATTTTGGTAACCCTCCTCTGTGCTGTAGTTTGTCAGTGTCCTTCAAGTACAGTGTCCAGTGCTCTTGCCACAACCAGACCAGCAAAGACTACTTATAGCTAATTATAAATGTGATAAGCGTTATGTCTTTGTCTTCCTGCAATCACTGATTTTTAAAATAAGGAAGAAGAACTAAGACTAGATCTGTGGGATAATGTTAAGGGCTCCAGAGGAATTGATATCAGTCCAATGATCAGATGTCTTTGAATAAGGTGTAAAATCAGTTTTAAATCTACCTAGGAGTATTCTGACCCACACTTCTGTCACTTGTCCTCACATAGTTATCCTGAGAGACTATTTTAAGTATTGTCCTACAATTTAGAAGTATTAAGTCTGTGGTATTCCCTTTATCTACCAATTCAGTAATGACAACAGACAGGGAGACGGAATTTGGCCTTATTTTTCTTTCTTTCTTTCTTTTTTTTTTAAGAAATCCAAAGAGGATTTTTTAAATTTTATTTATTTATTTATTTAATTTTTGGCTCATTGGGTCTTCGTTGCTGCCTGCGGGCTTTCTCTAGTTGTGGCGAGCAGGGGCTACTCTTCATTGCGGCGCGCAGGCTTCTCATTGCGGTGGCTTCTCTTGTTGCGGAGCACGGGCTCTAGGCGCATGGACTTCAGTAGTTGTGGCTCGTGGGCTCTAGAGCGCAGGCTCAGTAGTCATGGTGCATGGGCTTAGATGCTCCGTGGCATGTGGGATCTTCCCGGACCAGGGATCAAACCCGTGTCCCCTGCATTGGCAGGCGGATTCTTAACCACTGTGCCACCAGGGAAGTCCTGGCCTTATTTTTCTTAATAAACAATTTCTAGCTGTCAGTGATTTTTATTCCCTCAGTATTCCCAATTCTAATCTAGAATGTTTCTGTAAGATTTTTGGATATTTGGACAAAATAGTTTCCTTAAGAAAAGTTATGGTAAGAAAAGCAAAAACAAAAACCCCCAAACAACAAAAAAGAATAGTTATGCTGTATTTCTGTGGCTTAGCCCAAACAAAAATTTCCCTTCTTTTGGGGGGCAAGCCAAATATAATTTGTGCCTATGTGATACTAATCAGTTGGACTGTGTGGCACTCTGATTTGGTTTAAAATAAGTAAAGGACCTTACCATTAGAGTTAAGTAATGTTTACAGACAGAGCATTGCTAGAATATTTGGGCAGAAGGAAAAGTGGGGTAGGAATCAGACTTTCTCCAGGTCTAATCTCTCCTGTGGCTGAACGCATATCCTGCCTCCTGGACATCTCTCCCTGAATTTCCTGTAAGTATCTAAACTTGTGCTCTCCCTCCACCAAACCTGACTCTCCTCCTGTATTCTTTCTCATGGTTAATAATATCAATGTTTACCCAACAACTATAGATAGAAATATGGAAATTATCCAGATAATTGCTTCTCCCCAACCCTTATATCTAATTAACTAGTCCACAAGTGCCCTCCTAGGGAGGCAGAATAGTGTAGTAGAGAACAGACCTGGGTTTAAATACCAAGCTGTGTTATTCTGACCTATGCCTAGCACAGTGGGACACCTACTATCCCTTTGCTGTCTATTTGCTTCCATTATTGCCTGAGTATAACTCTACCATGGCAGAGTGAGCTTTATAAATCTGATGTCCCTCTCCTACTTAAACAACTGGGTGGCTCCTTGTTGTTTTCAGGATTACATTTCAACATGCTCATGAAAGGCCTTTCATGGTGTGGCCCCTCCTACCTACCCTTCCAGCTTCATCTCTTCTTGTTCCTCCATATGTGCTTGACATATGTGCTGACATATGTGTTTCAGCATATGTGCTGGCCATCCTGAACTCTGAGATGGGCCACAGTCCTGTGTCATCCCTCTGCCCTGAGTGCCCTTCCCCTCCTTTCCAAATGGCACAGTTTCCTTATTCTAACCTCACCCATATGGGGACACACACACAAAACCTTTATGAAATCATTCGTGAAATGCTTCTTCTCTCCACTCTCCCTTCTCCATAAACTATACAGTATCCATTCATGATGTACTCTGATTATGAGATGCACAGGGTGAAATGCAAAGAAAACCCATTTTACATTTTTAAAGAGTCAGAACACAAACATTTAAATAGCACCTAGTGGGACTTCCCTGGTGGCGCAGTGGTTAGGAATCCGCCTGCCACCGCAGGGGACACGGGTTTGATCCCTGGTCTGGGAAGATCCCACATGCCACGGAGCAACTAAGCCCATGTGCCACAACTACTGAGCCTGTGCTCTAAAGCCCATGAGCCACAACTGCTGAGCCCACACGCTGCAACTACTGCAGCCTGCACACCTAGAGCCCGTACTCCACAACAAGAGAAGCCACCGCAATGAGAAGCCCGCACACCACAATGAAGCGTAACCCCCGCTCGCCGCAACTAGAGAAAGCCCGCGCGCGGCAACAAAGACCCAGCGCAACCAGAAAATAAATAAAATTTTAAAAAATAGTAAATACATAAATAAAACAAAGTTTAAAAAAAAATAAATAGCACCTAGTGAGGTAAGAGAGTTAAGTGTTAGTTGGGAGTGTGGGCTACATTGTGACAAGACAACCTAATAAGTGGCAGTCTTAAGGTTTGCCCCTTGGTCTTTACAGAAAAGGTATCACACACATAGTGAGGATAGGTGGCATGAAGCACGTACCATATATACCTGGAATCATCTGTGAAGAAATGGATTCGTAGGAAGCACATTGATTACAAAAAGAAGTAAAGCAAAATCAGGCATTTGACCACGTATGAAGCAAAAGGAAGTTTTCTATCTTGTTTAGTCTGCATAGCATTGTAAAAGGGCCATGACTTCAAAAATTCTCTGTACTATTCATTAACAGTTTGGAAGGAAATAAACAAAAAGACAAATCCCTCTTTTAAGTTTATAAGCCTCAAGACTTCCCTGGTGGGCCCAGTGGGTGAGACTCCGTGTTCCCACTGCAGGGGGCCCGGGTTGGATCCCTGGTCGGGGAACTAGATCCTGCATGCATGCCTCAACAAAGATCCCATGTGCCGCAACTAAGACCTGGCGCAGCCAAAATAAGTAAATAAAATAATAAATATTTTTCTAAAAAGTGTATGAGCCTCAGTAGAGCTACCACACTTTTCCTTTTTTCTGTCGTGTTTTTTAATTTTCTTTCCTTTTGGCCGCGCCTCATGACTTGCGGGATGGGATCTTAGTTCCCCTGTCTCCAACCAGGGATTGAACCCGTGCCCGCTGCAGTGGAAACTCGGAGTCCTAGCCACTGGACCACCTAATTAGTCCCTAACTAATTTTAATTGCTAATTCATTCAGCAGATATTTATTTTAAGTACCTCCTGTGGTGGCAGGCACTGCTTTAGGTTCTAAGGATACAGTGGTGAGCAAAACAGACTGTCCCTGTGTCCCTATCCTCAGTCCACATACATTTCTGAGGAGAGACAGTAAACAAATATTTGATATATAATCAGCTGGAATTAAATACTGTGAGGAAAAATAAAGCAATGGAGGGGGATAAAGTGTGATGGAAAATGCTAATTTAGATATAGGGTGGTCAGGAAAGGCCTCTCTGAGGATGAGACATCTGAAGAAAGATGAGAATGAGAAAAGGCAGCAAGCCATGCAGATATTCCCATTACATCCCAGTTGCTTTTCTTCTCTTGGGCTTTATGATGATGTTACCTTGTATTAAGAAGTGTTATTGGGCTTCCCTGGTGGCGCAGTGGTTGAGAGTCCGCCTGCTGATGCAGGGGACATGGGTTCGTGCCCTGGTCCAGGAAGATCCCACATGCCGCGGAGCAGCTGGGCCTGTGAGTCATGGCCGCTGGGCCCGCGCGTCCGGAGCCTATGCTCCGCAACGGGAGAGGCCACAACAGTGAGAGGCCCGCGTACAAAAAAAAAAAAAAAAAAAAAAAAAATTAGTATTAAAAACATTTCTTCCTCAATTCATTACTTCATCTAACAACTTGAGAGAAATTCCTTTCTAGTTGTAGTATCATATAATCATATTCCTGTGCAACTGGTTTGTTTTTATCCCACAGACACTGGAAATTATATAGCCGACAGAGTTTCCCCTTTCACATTGACTGCTAGAAAACTCAGAGATTAATTTGTGACCTGTCCATATTAGCCATAGTAGTTGTGAAGGTCATTATGGTATGCCTCTTTTTGGTTTGGTTTTGTTTAGCATCATTCCTCTCAAGCCTGCCTTTTTTTTAACTCTACCATGAGTTCATGCTATCTTGTATTTTATGTATCCATGTAATCTAATCAGAAGCCTTTTTGGAACAAGATACAGTGGTGAATTGTAAACATGTATGTTTATAAAGGTAGAAAACATGACACATAGAGAATTACAGTACTTACATTGGTAGTATAGGCCGGTGGTTCTCAACTGAGGGCAGTTCTGTGTCCCCCAGGGGACATTTGGCAACATCTGATTATCACAGTTGGGAAATGCTACTGTCATCCTACATTGAACAGGACAGCCCTCAAACAAAGAATAATCTAGCCCAAAATGCTGATGGTGCCAGGGTTGGAAAACCTTGCTGTAGACTGGACCAGTCAATCCACAATTTCATACATTCCAGGGCTGTAGAAGCATTTTGTAATGTAAATGTCAAATGTGTTTCCATGTAGCTTATTCTAATATACAATGTATATTCTAAGTGGGTAGGTTGGGTGCCCTTCCACTAAGTCTGTCATCAGTCAGCTATTACTGAAAGCAATATTTTCCCCTTTGGAAATCTGTATTATGATGCCCACAAAGCCATAACTTCAGGTTGACAAAGTTGGGGAGAAGTGTGCTTTTTGTTTGACCGCCAGTATTTTGAACATTTGAATAAGCAGCGTAGTTAAAATGAGACTATGTTCTTTTCATTCTTCATTCTTTTTGCAGGCTTTCATAGAGACCATGTTTGCCAGTAAAGCCCCTGTAGAGGAAGGCTTTCTTTATGCTAAGGTGAGCATTAAATGGCTGGAAAAGTTTTGTTGGACGCAAATGTAATTTCATTGATTTGCATATGGCATCCAGTTGGCTTTCATGGAAGTGAGCAAGATATCAGTGGAGAGGATTTGGTTCTTAAATGTCAGTGGTAATTTATTAGATGATTCTAAAATATGTAGAGCTACAATTAGATGGAGAAAATTGCGAAGTAGAACAGGTAAAGAAGGAAAGACTTTTGCAAGTGTGAGTTAAGAATAATACTGTTAAAGTAATGTAAAGGCAAAGAATCTGAGGTGGTGTTGCAGATAGTAGCAGATATGAACCAGTCTCCAGGTCCATCCTAGGATATAATGAAATTAGTAGAATTTACCATTTCCCTAGCATCCTTTTTCACACTTCCAGAGCATGTAGGTCGGTAGCTATTTGAAAGGTTGAAATTGGTAATTTAGAGCTGTTGTTGAAAATGCAAGCCATATTTCAGTGTTGATCTAAATAAGAAAAAACAAATAGTAACATGTAAAGTATCTGACCGTTTCTCTGTACTCAGCCCAATCATAGGCTTTCCATGTTCTCTTCTGGACTTAACAGTTTGAAAATCACAGGAAATTTAGAGCACTCAGGAGAAAAGAACAGATTTAATAATAGAGTTGAATAACAGTATTGGGGTGAGCATAAAAGAAATGGCCTGAAGTTACAGCATAATAGTTTGGTTAAAAAGATGTGACGAGGGCTTCCCTGGTGGTGCGGTGGTTGAGAGTCTGCCTGCCGATGCAGGGGACACGGGTTCGTGCCCCGGTCCGGGAAGATCCCACATGCTGCGGAGCGGCTAGGCCTGCGAGCTATGGCCGCTGAGCCTGTGCGTCCGGAGCCTGTGCTCCGCAACGGGAGAGGCCACAAACAGTGAGAGGCCCGCGTACCGCAAAAAAAAAAAAAAAAAAAGATGTGACGAATAGTTTTCCATTGTTAACTTAAGATAAGTACTTGAATGGAGGTATGGGCTGTTGAAGAGAGCCTGTGCTGGAGCTGCCCTGAGGAAATCTCAGACTTTCAGTCATACTTTGCTGTTGTTTTGCAGTTTGAATTTGAATGCCGGGCCCGTGGTGCAGACATCTTAGCCTACCCACCTGTGGTGGCTGGAGGTAATCGGTCAAACACTCTGCACTACGTGAAGAACAATCAACGCATCAAGGTACACAGACCCCCTTCAGTGCTGCTTCCTCTGGGTCCAGATGCCTTAGTAAACTCTAACCTCATGGTCCCCTAACCTTCAGCTTTCACAAACTAACTGCTATTTATAAATCCCTTACAGACATGATCTCATTTGATCTGCACATTAGCACTGTGAGATAGGAACAATTATTAACATGCTTGTTTAATAGATGAGGAAAATAAACTAAAAAATTAGGTAACTCGTTAGTGCAGAGCCAACTATTCTAGTCTAAAGCCTCTGCTCCTTTCACTTGATAAAGCTCCTTTGCTAAGGACTTGTGGCAACAGTGGGCCAAGCATATTTTGGGAGCAGACAGGTTTTACGACTATCTTGTTAGCTGTGAGGGAACTTATTTTTTATGGTTTTCTCCCCAAGTGACTATACAAGTAAAGAATTGTGTATTCCTTTATTAAGTCTATTTTTAATTATCTACTTTAATTTACAGTAAATTCAAAAAACAAATATAGCAAACATAAATTATACAAAATAATTTTTTTTAATGAATACCCATGAACCAACGAGTCAACTCAAGAGCCAGAACATTACCAATGTTACATCTGCGTGCGTACCCTTATGCTCTGGCACCCTACTGCCTCCCTCCCAAAGGTCACTAACCAGTATCCTAAATTTTGTTTGTCATTCTCTTGATTTTTTCAATTGTTTTATCACATAGACATGATTCCCCAAACAATATTAATTAGTTCTGCTTGTTTATGAAATATATAAAAGTCATATATTGCTATATGTAGTTTTGGGGACTCAAACTTTTCTTTTAACCTCAAGTATGACAAGATAATACAAATTTTTTCTCAGGTATTTGTATCTGTTTACACTCCTACCAGCAGTGTATAATTCTGTTGACCACATCCTTTCCATCCCCTGATATTATCAGACTTCTTAATTTTTGCCATTTTAGTTGGAATAAAACAGTATCTCATTGTGGTCTTCATTTCCATTACCTCAATTACCAGAGAAGTTAAGCATCTTTTCTTATCTTTGGCATTACTGCTTTCAACTTGCTAATGTGTTGTTTAGGATATTCTGATTTGTGTACATGAATGAGATTGTCTTATAATTTTTCTCATACTGACTTTATGGTTTTCATTTCAAGGTCAAACTAAACTCATAAAATGAATAGTTTATTTTTTAATATTGTAAAATGGTTTGAATTAATGTTTCTTGAAAATTGGGTAGGACTCTGCTGTGGAATTATTTGGGCCAGATATCTTTTGTGGGATTTTTAACTATGATTCAATTTCTTTAATATACTGAGGCTTTCTATTTTTCTCTTTCTTTTTATTTATTTATTTATTTTACGTTTCTTATTGTGAAATGTAACTACTGGAAAAGTACTTAAACCATAAAAGAATAGTTTAATGGGTAATTATAAAGTTAACACCCATGTGACCGTTACCCAGGTCAAGAAATAAAACATGTAGGCAAGCTACAGCCCTCTGGGTGAAATCCAGCCTGCCACTTTGTTTTTTAAATAAAGCTTTATTGGAACACAGTGGTTTCCACTCCCCCACCCCCACCCCATGGCAGAGTTGAGTAGTTGCACCAGAGGCAGTACGGTCCACAAAATAAATATTGTCTAGCCCTTTACAGGAAACACTTAACCCCTGAAATAGGACATTACTGTGACCCCCCCACCCCCAAGAAGCTTTTCCACCATGTGGTCCTTCCCTCCCTGTGATAACTCCCTCTCTCCCTGATAGGGTAACACTCTCCCAATTTTGATGGTGATCATGTCTTTGCTTTTCTTTTTATTTTACAATTAATAAAGTAGTTTATATAATTTGGTTTTGGTCATGTTTGAACTTTATATATTTGAAATGTTATGTCTGTGTCTTCTTTTGTACAGAAGTATATTGTTGTATGCCGCTGTAGTTTGTTCATTGTAATTGCTAGAGTGTAGAATAGCAGGTAGAGTATGGTCTGTGAAGTTAAATATATTTTCATAAGAATGCTAAGACATTATATTATGTGCTCTTTTTCACTCTTATTTTCTCTCAACTGTACTGTGAAGTATCCCAGAGGCCTTATGACATGCAATATCACACCAACTTGAATGCAGAAGCAAATATGAGACTCCAGCTGTCTTCTCTTTGTCTATGCTAGACAGAGATTTGCAAAAATGTAAAACAATGCCACTTTTCTAACTAAATATTTTTATTTAGAAAAATAGTTATTTTCATTAAAAATATTATTTTAGCATGTAATTAGTGGGTTTATTGTTATTTTTAAATGAATAAATATTATAAAATTTTCTCAGTTTGAATTTCTTAATGTGATAAATATCCATAGGTGGATATTTATATATTCTCCAGGTTTTTACCATTATGAACAATGTTCTGTAAACATTCTTGTACATTATTCATGGTATGTAAGTTATCAAGGTTGCCTAAGAGACACCTAATAATGGAATTGCTGGGTCATAGGATATGCATATTTGCAACTTTCATAGAAAATGCCAGACATTTCCGAAGTGTTTTTATCAGTTTATATTTCCATTCTTCTGGAGACAGTTTGGTAGATTATATTTTTGTACCATTTTGTCTAAGTTTTTAAAATTGTAGTATTATCTTACATTTTAATCTTTTGTGTTTGTAGTAATGTACCCTTTTACATTCTTTTTTTTCTTTTGTTTTGTTTTCCCTTTATGTACCTTTTTACATTCTTGATATCTTTATTTGTTTGTTTGTTTATTTATTTATTTTTGGCTGCATTGGGTCCTTGCTGCTGTGTGTGGGCTTTCTCTAGTTGTGGCGAGCAGGGGTTACTCTTCGTTGTGATACACATGCTTCTCATTGCGGTGGCTTCTCTTGTGGAACACAGGCTCTAGGCATGGAGGCTTCAGTAGTTGTGGCACAAGGGCTCAGTAGTTGTGGCTTGTGGGCTCTAGAGCACAGGCTCAGTAGTTGTGGCTCGCAGGCTTAGTTGCACCACAGCCTGTGGGATCTTCCCGGACCAGGGCTCGAACCTGTGTCCCCTGCATTGGCAGGCAGATTCTTAACCACTGCACCACCAGGGAAGTCCCTTTTCTAATAAATCTTAATAGACAGTTTCTTTAAAAGTAAACATACATATTCTCTGTGAACCAGCAGTTTCTTTTTAGGTATTTTTCCAAGAAAAATGAAAACATATGTCCAAAAAATGCCTTGTACAAGAATGTTGATAGCAAGTGTACTCATAATAGTCCAGGGGTCCATAACCAGGATATTAGATATGGAAATTACCATGTGATATATCCTTGAGATAAAAAGGAGCAAACTACAGCACTGCCAACAGCATGAATGATCCCAAAAGCATTACACTGAATAAATAAGCCAGACACAAGAAAATTGCGAACTATATGATTCTATTTATATGAAGTTCTGAAATAAGCAAAACTAATCTATGGTGATAGAAATCAGATCAGTGGTTGCTTCTGATGGGGTGTTGACTGGGTAAGGCCATGAGGGTGTGGTTACATGGGTGTATACATTTGACAAAACAGACTTAATTCTGTATACTTAAGATCTGTGCAAAGAAATCTCAGCAGAGGTTTGTGGGTTTTTATTAGTCTTGTAAAACCATCTTCTCTCCTGCATGCCTCAGTGAAGATCCTGCGTACCGCAACTAAGACCCAACACAGCCAAAAATTAAATAAATAATAACTTTTAAAATAAATAAATAAAAATACTAAAAAAAAAAAACTTTGCACATCATTAATGCTATTTTGTCTTTGTTTATTATCTCATCACACTGTGCCCTGGCCTTTGTTAATTTCACTCTTTTACTCTTTGTGTTTATTCTCTTGTTCTTCTTTTAAGCTTTTTTTTTTTTTTTTTTGTGGTACACGGGCCTCTCACTGTTGTGGCCTCTCCCGTTGTGGAGCACAGGCTCCAGACGCGCAGGCTCAGCAGCCATGGCCCACGGGCCCAGCCGCTCCGCGGCATGTGGGATCTTCCCGGACGGGGGCATGAACCCGTGTCCCCTGCATCCGCAGGCGGACTCTCAACCACTGCACCACCAGGGAAGCCCTAAACTTCTTAAATTAGATGCTAAACTCTTTTTTCTGGCCATGCCACATGGCTTACAGGATCTTAGTTCCTGGACCAGGGATCAAACCCGGGCCCCCTGCAGTGAAAGCACCGGATCCTAACCACTGGACCACCAGGGAATTCCCTAAACTCATTAATATTCATCCTTTCTTCTGTTCTAATTATAATTATTTAAGGATTAATATTTTACTTTCATTATATTCCATGTGTTTTTTTCATTATATTTCACTGTTTCTTTTTGCTTTTGCTGCATTAAGATTTCTTTTTCTTTGGTATTTCTCAGTTTTATTATATTTCTAGATACAAATTTATCATATATTATAAACAATAAATATAATATACTGTTTAAAATAATAATGATAAAATGAACAACCATGTATTCACCATCAAGGATAAGAAGATCGTTGCTTATACCTTAGTAGTCCCTTGGGTGATCTCAAGCACATCTCCCTTTCTGTCTCCTACCATCTTGACTTTTGTTTTAACCATTTTTTTTTTGTTTTTCTTCATAGTTTTACCACCAGTGTACCTATTCCTAAATATAGTATTCATCCTTGAAAAACTAGAGAATAAGCACAAATCTAGCTTTACAGGGAGAGAGACATATTGCCATTGTTGGATAAAGTGACCTAAATAAGAAATAAGAGAAAATAGTCAAAAACTTCTAGGTCATAGTCTGGCTTCAGTTATCTGAAACTTTTCAACTTAGCGGGCAGGGTCATCAAGAAGCCGTGAGAAATGCAGAGGTCTGCTGGGGCATCTGGAAGGACTCTGTCATGGACCAGCTGGTAGGCATCTGGCAGAGATCTAGTCAGAGACAGCAGGCTGCCCTGTGGTTCTGCCTCTGAGCTCACCACGGCTACATCTAGCTGTCAGGAATAGGTCAAAGCAGAGCCCCCTTCTAACAGAGTTTGTTTAGATTTACCTGCATGTTGATCTTTCCTTCTTGCATCTTAGATGGCCTTTCTGGGATCACCTTCCTTCTACCTGAAGAACATCCTTTAGATGAAGGTGTGTAGCTGATAAACTTTTTCTACTTTTGTTTAGCCAAAACATCTTTATTTCATTCTCATTCTTGAAAGATGGCTGTGCTGAGGAAAACCATCCTAGATTGACAGTTATTTTCAGTCATCAATTTTAATAGATTATACTCCTTTCTTCTGACTTTCAGTGTTGCTGATTTTAAAGTATAATAATTATCATTCCTTTATGAGATTTCTTTTTGCTTTTGCTGCATTAAGATATCTTTTTCTTTGGTATTTCTCAGTTTTATTATATATCTAAATACAAATTTATTTTTACATGTCCTCATTATGATACCTCTGCTTCCTGAATCTGTAGATTCGTGTCTTCATCAGTTCTAGGAAATTCTCAGACATTATTTCTCCAGATATCATCTCTCCTACATTCTCTCTGTTCACTCCTTAAAGGTCTTCAGTTACATGTATGTTAAACCTCTTTTCTGTTTTCAATAGCTAATGTTTCTTTCATGTTTACATTTGCCTTGTCTGTCTGTGTCGTACTCTAGGGGATTTTCATAGGTCTGTCTTCCAGGAAACTAAATTTTCTCTTCATTTGTCTAACCTACTACTTCAGCCATACACTGAGTATTTTATTTCAGCAGTTGTTTTTATTTCCATTTGGTTCCCTTCGAATCCACAGTTATTCTCAGTTGTCTCTTGTTGCTTGTTATCCTTTGTGATTCCATTTTTTATCCCTTTAAACATTTCATAATAGCAATTCTGTATCTCATAACTCCATTGTGTGGAATTCTGGAAGATCTAAATTTGGTATTTGTTGTTCCTGCTGACTCTCACTCACAGTGACCTACTGCCTCGTGTGCTTGACAGCCTTTGGTTGTGAGCTCATATTTGCTTGTTATTTTTGGGAAATTATGCAATCCCAAATTTGGGCGCTATTTCCTCTAAATGTTATTTGCATATGCTTTTGCCAGAGTGAAGTGGGTCCTAATGACCTGGGGCCCTATTATCCCCTGTGAGTGTCCTGGGTTAATGCAGGAATCTCCACTTCATCTTCCCCACTTTGCAACTCCTTCTTTCCTATATACTGTAACACTTACCTTATCACTACTCAGCTCTAGTTTCAGTTCTGGGTTGATTTTTTTTTTTTTTTTTTGCGTCACGCGGGCCTCTCACTGTTGTGGCCTCTCCCATTGCGGAGCACAGGCTCCGGACGCGCAGGCTCAGCGGCCATGGCTCACGGGCCCAGCCACTCCATGGCATGTGGGATCTTCCCGGACTGGGGCATGAACCCATGTCCCCTGCATCGGCAGGTGGACTCTCAACCACTGCACCACCAGGGAAGCCCCTCTGGGTTGTTTTTATTCAAGAAAAAAAGTCTTTAAGATGTCTCTTATATGATGTAATGTCAACATTTCATAAAATATATTTTTGTCCAGGATCTAGTTGTTACCTAAAATTTATTCTGTCATGTTTCCAGAAACAAAAACCACATTGATTCTTCTTGCCATTATTATATATGTAATTATTTGACCATTATTCTACTATGTGCCAAGTTCTGTGCTTATTTAGATGTGAATAAGATATGGCCTGTCTTCAAGGGCATAAATAGAAAATTTCAGTATAACATGACAAGTAGTAAAAGAGAGATGTACCCAAAGTTTTTTGGTTTTATTGGTTTGGTTTTTGTCTGGGGTTTGTTTGTTTGTTTGTTTTCCCCCCACATGTATTTTGATGGAGAGCAGAAGGGAACGTGATATTCTAAAGTTAAATGGTTACGGGTAATTATATTTGAATAAAGGCCCTGGATAACAACCTATATAGGATTTTTTTAATTAATAGTGATAATGGTAATATTTATGATGTTAATAAATCATAAATGCTAATGTTTACACCTGGTAATTCAAACTCCACACTTTGGTTCCAGAGCCAATGCACTTAACCACTCTACAGTGCCATCTTTCTTGAGCCAGTGTGAATTCATATGAAAAACTTAGACACTATTTCTTGTGAGAAGGAACCAGAGAAGATTAGTCTCCTTTAAAGTAGAGTTTTTGTTTTGTTTTGTTTTTTATAAAATGAAAGGCATGAAGAGTTTAAATTAGAAGAAGAAAGAACTGACAGTCATTAAGTCACCTACTTTTACCTGTCTTACTTTTGTTCCAGGATGGGGAAATGGTGCTGCTGGATGGAGGTTGTGAGTCTTCTTGCTATGTGAGTGACATCACTCGTACCTGGCCTGTCAATGGCAGGTAGGGCTTCCAAAGATCCCACTGCTTCTTAGGAGTATGAGTTAGAATATGGGTATATTTGGAATAAAGAACTAAAGAAATATACAAGTTCCCTCTAGCACACATTAACTGCCTTTACAAAGCTCCTGATTATTTTCTAAGACTGTTTTTTATTCATCATATCAAGGATCAGGCACCTAAAAACACCTAGTTAACATGTGCGCACACACATTTTTTGAAAACAAATTTAAGTTTTTATTTTCTGAGTACAAAGATAATATTTAGGTTATGGTAGAATAGTTTGGCCAGATTAACCCTCCGATAACAATTATAGAATCTGGACAAAATATTAAAAACAAGTATTTAAAGGCACTAGAAAGCTTCCTAAAAGCCTGTAGAAATAGCAGCATAAGTCTGTCCTTGAAAGAAGAGCTATAATGGGTTAGATCTAAGTGGTTAGCGTATTTTGCTTGAGGGAACTTCCCAATTCACACAGCTTGGGCAGCAAGAAGCCACAGCCTAGTTGGCCTGAGGTGTCAAAGGACAGAATTAGATACTAGCAAGGAACCAGAAAGATGGGAAATCCTGAAAGAGAGCGTACTGCAAAAAAGGGTGAGGTCCAAAATTTGCATATAAAATATTCCAAAATCCTTGGCTGATCACTACATTATATTCTAGGGTGAGATCCCAGGAGGCTCAGCAAAATACTGGCAGCCAGAATTTGAATGGACTGAGCAGAGACTTTAGTTACTTCCCACTAAGAGCAGAGCTTGCAGTTTGAATCCAGCCAAGTTAACAAAATCACTCTTCAGAAGAACATAACAGAATTTTAGAATCTCTACATTGTATCATTCATAACTTCTACTGTTCATTTTAAAAAATCACTAGACATAAGAATCAGGAAAATGTGACCCATAATCAATAAAATTATAGTCAATAAAAACAGATCCTAAATAACCCTAATGTTACAATTAGCAGATGAGGACTTTAAGGCAGCTAACAATAGCTGTGCTCAAGGAGTTAAAGGAAGATATAAGTGTAATGTGTGAACAGATAGAGAATGTCAGTAAGAAACCAAAAACTATAAAAAGAATGAGGGATTCTGGAGAGATGGCAGCAAATAATAGTTTTTCAGTCTTTCCAAATTTTCAAATAAGAATAGAACAACTAGGTGGTGACTGGTATCCCAAACACCAGGTAATGGGGTATCCTTAAAATCTCAAAATACGAATAGTTATGAACATACTATGTACAACCACAAAACCTGGGTGGTATCAGTATCTGTGTGGAAGGAGAAGGAAGCAGCAATGGTGGGGGAGGCTAACTGACAGACCTGAAAACAGGAGAACCCCAAAATAACCAACAGCTATTCAGTCAGGATAATGAGCCAATTTCAGAACAGAAGCTGAAAACGGGAAGGATTTGCCAATCCAGTGGCCCAAGAAAGTCTGAAGGTGCTGGGCTCCCTTCTAAGACAGGGGCTCACACTTAAGGTAAACTGCTAGAAGTAGAACAGAAATTGAGCAGGTTAGGAACTAAAGAGAGGAAAGAATGAGATGATCAAAATCAAAGAGGGGGGAAAGGGAGTCCCTTGGCGGTCCAGTAGTTAGGATTTGGCACTTTCACTGCCTTGGCCCGGGTTCAATCCCTGGTCGGGGGGAAAAGATCCCGAGGGCCATGCAGTGCAGCAAATAAATAAATAAAACCAAAGTGAGGGAGAACTAAGGAAAGATCTGAAACAAGCTGCCTTGTTTTTTACCACTACACCAAAACAACAGATTACACTCTGAAATTAAATCTTTTATAAATCCTGCCTTATTCTAAAAGTACAGGAAATTAATTTCATATAAAATAAGCAATTAAAAAAGCATCTAGGGGACTTCCCTGGAGGTCCAGTGGTTAAGACTCCATGCTTCCACTGTAGGGGGTGCAGGTTTGATCCCTTGTCAGGGAACTAAGACCCTGCATACTGCCCAACATGGCCCAAAAAAAAAAAAAGCTTCTAGGTTAAATCTCATAAAAAGTTATTAAAAGCAAAAGGAGAATAAGGAGCAGAATAACATCCCTACAGAAATGAAAGCATGCCAGAAAGACATGACTACAAAATAGATCAAAACAATGCCCTTTTGTTTTAAAACAAGCTAAAAATTTTTAAAGCAAATCATTCAAAACATGAAAAAACAACATATATCAGAATTAGAAAATCTTGGTAATGAAGTGACAAACTCAGGAAAGAATTAGAAATAAATTTAAAATCATTTCAGGGGCTTCCCTGGTGGCACAGTGGTTAAGAATCTGCCTGCTGGGCTTCCCTGGTGGCACAGTGGTTAAGAATCCGCCTGCCAATGCAGGGGACATGGGTTCGAGCCCTGGTCCGGGAAGATCCCACATGCCACGGAGCAACGAAGCCCGTGTGCCACAACTACCGAGCCTGCGCTCTAGGGCCCGTGCTCCGCAACAAGAGGAGCCACCACAATGAGAAGCCCGTGCACCGCAAAGAAGAGTAGCCCCTGCTCCCCGCAACTAGAGAAAGCCCATGTGCAGCAATGAAGACCCAACACAGCCAAAAATAAATAAATAAATAAATTTATTTATTTAAAAAAAAAGAAATCAAACCAATTAAAAAAAAAAAAGAATCTGCCTGCCAATGCAGGGCACACGGGTTCGAGCCCTGGTCCGGGAAGATCCCACATGCCGCAGAGCAACCAAGCCCATGCACCACAACTACTGAGCCTGTTCTCTAAAGCCCACGAGCCACACTACTGAGCCTGAGCGCCACAACTACTGCAGCCCACACACCTAGAGACCGTGCTCCGCAACAAGAGAAGCCACCACAAATGAGAAGCCCACGCACCGCAACGAAGAGTAGCCCCCACTTGTTGCAACTAGAGAAAGCTCGTGTGCAGCAACAAAGACCCAACACAGCCAAAAATTTTTTAAAAATTTTAAAAATAGGCAAAGAGTTAGAACATACACATGAAGGAAGCCCTGAAGAAGAAAACCAAAGCAAGGGAACAGAACAAATACTAAAAACTATAATTTAAAATTTTCCTGAAAAAAAATATTGAAACTACCTTAGAAAGAGCACACTGCGTACCTGAGAATATCAGCCCAGGAAAAAACAACACCAAGACATAGTCTAGGAAAATTCTGAACCTGCAAGGAAAAGAAAAATTCTTTTGGGGACTTAGAAAAAAAGAGGAAAGGAAACTAGACTGTTATCAGACTTTTCAAAAGCTAGGCTTTATGAAAGAAGAAAATAGCGTAACGTATTGAAGATGCTCAGAGAACAAAAGTGTGAGCCAAAGGTTTTATCTGCAGCAAAAGAAACTTTCAGCTATAAAGGGTACAGATCGTTAGGTGGGAACTTAAAGAACATTACTCCCATGAATCTGCTGGAGCTGTGTGATCAGGAAAGAGGATATCACAATAAATCCTACAGATATCAAAAGGATAATGAGATAATATGTGAACAAATATGTGCATTCATCATTGTTAGTCATTGAAGAAAATGCATGTTAAACCTCTACACATCCACTAGAATGGTTGAAATTAAAGAGAGCAACCATACCAAGTGTTGGCAGTGGTGCAGTGCAACAGGAACAAAAAGACTTGTACAAGAATATTCGTAACAGTTTTATTCACAGTAGCCAAAAACTGGAAATGACCTAAATGTCCATCAGCAAGAGAATGAATACACAAATTGTGGACTATTCATACAATGGAATACCACTCAGCAATAAACAGGGAACAAACTACTGATCAAAATAACACCATGGACATTATTCTTAATGAAGGAAGTTCAACACAAAAGAGTACATATTGTCTGATTCCATTTATATGACATGCTAGAATAGGCAAAACTAAGGTGAAAATAATCAGAACAATGTTTCCCTCTCGAGGTAGGGGTGTTGATTAGAAATAGACATGAGGCACTTCCACGAGGGGGATGGCAATGTTCTGTGTCATAGGGATATGGATCTGGATCTCAGTTCCCCAGAGAAACAGCCAGTGGGATATATTATGTATGTATGCATATGTAGGTAGGTGGGTTGGTTGATGATCGATTGATTTTAAAGAACTGGCTCATGTGATCATGGGGATTGGCATTTCTGAATTTCAGAGGGCAGAACTGCAGGCTGGAAACTCAAGCAAAAGCTGATGTTGCAGTCTTGAGGCAGAATTCTTTCTCCGACATAGCAAAGTAGTTCTGGTATTTGAATTCATTTAGTGCAGGCTACCTTTTGATCCATGTTTCAGCCAACCAACCAAATAAACCGTTAGAGCCTTTCTGAGCCCTCAAGCTTCAGCATTGAATCCAGAATCTCTCCTTAGTGGACCCCTATCAGTAAATTCAGCCTGATGCAACTTTATGTTCCTTCCACCATTAGCCCACACATGAACATCCATTTCTATACATATTCCCAGATTTTTGTCTATATAAATAGGAAAAATCGTGCAGTTCTTTTTGGATTATAGTGCATCTCGTCATGGGTCACACTTTGTACCTAACTTTTTGGGACCTGCTGGGAGTAACGTCTAGTTGTGGGTCTAGAAGCAACTACCAAGGCAGCTGCCTCTGGGGAGATACCTGTAGGTTCTCAGTCAAAACAGGGTTGGCCTCCTCAGACTGGGGTAGAAGGGCTGCTTCTCCTAGCAAAGATGACTCAGCAGAATTTAGGGGTTCAGTGTCCCCAGCTTCATCACCACCAGCACATCCATTTGTCAGAATTGTAGAGCTCAGATTTGTACATTTCAGTGTATATAAAATTTACATTAGAAAAAGAATTGTTAAAAGATGTTTAGTAATACTGAGATGGGGTGGAGCATGTTTATACTCATCAATGACAAACATAACAGTGTTAATAATGGCTGAACCTGGGAGATGGGTGTGTAGGTTTTCATTATAGCATTACCTTGCTGACTTTAACCATTCTTATTAGGGGACATTTATAATTATTTTTAAAATCACAGTGAACATTTTTGTATATTCAGCTTTTTTTGAATTTCAAATATTTTGTCAGGATGGCTTCTTAGAGCAGAATTACAAACTTAAATTTTATGAGCACCTTTAAGGCCTTTGATTTAACTGGCTGTACTAATTTACAATTCCATCAACAATGTATAGGGACTTGCCTGGTAGCACAGTGGTTAAGAATCTGCCTGCCAATGCAGAGGACATGGGTTCGAGCCCTGGTCTGGGAAGATCCCACATGCCGCAGAGCAACTAAGCCCGTGTGCCACGACTACTGAGCCCAAGCGCCTAGATCCCGTGCTCAGCAGTAAGAGAAGCCACCGCAGTGAGAAGCCCACACACCACAGCGAAGAGTAGCCCCCATTTGCCGCAACGTAGAGAAAGCCCGCATGCAGCAACGAAGACCCAACGCAGTCAAAAATAAGTTAATTTTTTAAAAAATGTATTAAAAACACATATCATATACCACCCGAGCTTGGTATTTTTCCCTCATTTTTCCCCATTACTGATGAAGAAATTATTATACTAAGGACACCTGGAAACTAGTAAGTTATTAGTAGCCAAAGTTTTTTTTTTAAAACAAATACATTTTATTTACTTATTTTATAAATTAATTTATTTTACTTTATTTTTGGCTGCGTTGGGTCTTCAGGTTGCTGTGTGCGGGCTTTCTCTAGTTGCAGCAAGCGGGAGCTAGTTTTCGTTGCAGTGCTCGGGCTTCTCATTTGCGGTGGCTTCTCTTGTTGCGGAGCACGGGCTCTAGGTGCATGGGCTTCAGTAGCTGCGGCAGGTGGACTCAGTAGTTGTGGCTCGCGGGCTCTAGAGTGCAGGCTCAGTAGTTGTGGCATGTGGGTTTAATTGCTCCGCGGCACGTGGGGTCTTCGCGGACCAGGCTCAAACCCATCTCCCCTGCATTGGCAGGCAGATTCTTAACCACTGCGCCACCAGGGAAGTCCCATAGCCAAAGTATTGATTAGTTTATCCCATGACATCTGCTTTGCCTATAAGTGGATCCTTAGGCTCTGTTTTTTTTTTTTGTTTGGTTGGTTTTTGTTTGTGTTTTTTTAATGGTAAAAAAAAAAAAAATGGAGAGGATCAAGAGTAAGCCTGATCTGGCCCTCTGACTGCATTTATGGCTGGGTGCATCTTTTAACCTCACCCCGTGTCTGTCAGCTGACCGTTTGAAGGAGAGATTGTTGTTGCTGCCCCAGCTTTAAGGGTTATTGCTCTTCCTGTTGAGCATCTAGGCATGATTGAGGTCCTGTCATTAATGATATACTGGTACTGACTAAATATCAACAATGCCCCATCATCATTGCCTTGGAGTTTTTCTAATCAAACTTAGAAGCAAACTTCCTACAATATCAGAGAGTTCCAAATTCGAGTTCTTGGGTTTTCCTGTCCCCAGGTTCACGGCACCTCAGGCAGAACTCTATGAAGCTGTTCTAGAAGTCCAGAAAGATTGTCTGACCCTCTGCTCCCCTGGAACAAGCTTGGATAACATCTACAGCATGATGCTAACACTGATAGGACAGAAGCTTAAAGAGTTGGGGATCATGAAGAACATTAAGGAAAATAATGCCTTCAAGGTACTTCACTTCCTTTGACCCCATTTCTTAAGAACACCTGACATGCTGCTTAGTTTTTATCCTACGTAAAACTAATTAGATTTAGAAATGGTGTTGGTGATTCTTCACCAGTAAGAGGGACTTTTTTTGAACATGGATTAAAGCAAAAGGTGCAATACTTATTTCTACCAGAAGATGGCAGCACATCTGGTTCATTGCATACTGTGTAACTAGCTCAGAATTCAGAAAACAAAATGAAGTCTGGTACAGACAGGGTGGAAGAGGACATAAAACGGAGGAGAGGTTAACTCTTAATTCTTTTGTAGTGATTTTGAAAAGGTAGAGGTCGAAGGGGAGGGTGTTTCTTGCTTCAGTAACATTGTTGAGACTTTTAACAATATCCTCAGTTGCCATGTTTAGTGAATTTCATCTGCATCCAAAATGTGATGGTGTTCAGTAAAAATTTAAAGCCTCAGCTTTAAATTAAATGGTATGCGACCATGCCAGGTGGTCAAACGAAACAGACCAGTAAGGCATCTCTTAGCTCCAAGTTTAGGCTGCCAGGGTTTCTTTTATCAATAGGAAAAAAGCTATAAATTCCTCCTGTTCATGCCAACAAATCTTTAATCAACGGATAGAAATATCCAAGCTAGTAAATGCCTAATAATTACTGTGTTACATGGTGTTTCATACCTACTCCACAAGTTGCTGTGAGATACTTAGAGTCTCCAGAGTAGCCTTCCTAAGAGGGACATGCGAACATTGAAAAGAGAACTATTCTAACACAATTATCTTCCCTCCCCCAAGAAAAGAGATTTTCATTTGCCGTAGTCATTACTGGGCTTACCCCAGTTAGCATGTGTGTAGTATATTAAATTGTAAGAATAGAAATGTGGATTAGTTAGAATGCTGTTGGCAGAATTGCATACAAGAGGTGGCAGTTTTCAAGTCTCTTAAGCATTAGCCCGAGGATAGGTGAAACAAGTGGCAAAACTGGGGGCAGGGGTCAGTGTTAACACATATCTCATGGCGTTATAGATGCCCAACTTTCCCCTTAAGGGGTCATTGCTCTAATAACACTGAGGTAATATCTTTTCCAGGCTGCTCGAAAATACTGCCCGCATCATGTTGGCCATTACCTGGGGATGGATGTCCACGACACTCCAGACATGCCCCGCTCCCTCCCTCTGCAGCCTGGCATGGTAATCACAGTGGAGCCAGGTAAGGGGAGGTGCTAGCAACCTCTGATCCCTTGGGACATGTAATTCTAATGTTAGAACACTTTATTTTTACCTGAACGAATGTAATTAAATTAGAAGAGACAGGAAAATGAATCTCTCCAGTAGATTTTTTCTTGAGCTTTTTTATTTCACATCACACAATTTGTTTAATTTGACTTCTCCAATAAACAACAGATGGGGAATACTTTCGATCAGTAGATATTAAGAAAGAAATCTTTTTTTAACCCTGCCTTTGCCAGGGCCAGTTTGTACTAGTCCTTCCCATCATCTTGGTGGGCTGCTGACACTTGTGAAGCCCCTGGCACTTTTCTGCAGAGACACTCAGACTCCCCATGTTCTCAGTTGCAGCTCCTCTGCATTGAACTGCCTGCATTATTCCACTTTTTAGTATCCAGATCATTTCTTCTAAGCTTCAGAGAGAGCTGGCAGTCTAATGGTTCTCCAGCTTGAATGATGCTGGATGTTGGGCAGGATTCAGTAGAAAAGTGCTGGCCACGGTGGAGTGTAAGATTGATGTTACCAGTCAGGTTTTTTTTTTCCTTTTTTTTTTTTTTTTTTGCGGTACGCGGGCCTCTCACTGTTGTGGCCTCTCCCATTGCGGAGCACAGGCTCCGGCCGCGCAGGCTCAGCGGCCATGGCTCACGGGCCTAGCCGCTCCGTGGCATGTGGGATCTTCCCGGACCGGGGCACGAACCCGTGTCCCCTGCATCGGCAGGCGGACTCTCAACCACTGCGCCACCAGGGAAGCCCCACCAGTCAGTTTTAAACATCGATGCTGCTTCTGTCATGAAAGCAGATCTCAATCTTAGATTTCAAGCGTTTTCACCTCTAAATTATGTAAGTTATAGTATGAATAGAATGTTCTGATTCTTTTTTCTACTTCTCAGGTATTTATATTCCGGAGGATGACAAAGACGCCCCTGAGAGGTTCCGTGGTCTTGGTGTACGAATTGAGGATGATGTAGTGGTAACAGAGGACTCACCTCTCATCCTTTCTGCAGATTGTCCCAAAGAGATGAATGACATCGAACAGATATGCAATAGGGCCTCTTGACCCTCAGTGTGGCCCACATGCATCTTAGGTTCAGAAGGGGTGGACGTTGGCCTCTGTGCACGTGTGCTTTCTGGGGGTCTCTGTGTGGACATTTATACACGTGTTCCACTGGGGAGTGCAGCAGCTATATGAGTGTATGTAGTTGTGTATGTGGTCTTTTCTTGTTTTATGTAGCTAGAAATCTGGGAAATTGAGTTTTGGGATTGTATGTTACTGCAACTTTAGTAACATTAATTCTGTAGAATTAATGACTCAGACAAGTTTAGTTTTCAGATGTAAAGAAAGATCTTGGTTACATATGTCCACGCATCCCAGTTAGCACATGGAGAAAATTCTCTGCTTCTCTCCAGGTCCTTCCCCTCTGCACTTTTCCTGAGATCTACCTAATATCATAAGATTTTTGTGTAATGCTTATATATTTTGAGCCAATCACCAAGGTCTTTCCCTACACTGAAAACCACCCATCAGTGATTGTGGGTGGCCAGTACATACCTTCCATAACACCTGCCTACCTATCCAGGAGCCCATGTATCTACCGGAGCCATGTGAGCCCTCAGGACACTGGTGTCCTACAGTCACACCATTCAGCCACAGTCCAGATTCCAGCAACACTAGCTATCGAACAAAACATTTTTGAGCCTTTCTTGCTATTTGGTTACCTGGGACCTGGAAGGTGTTTAGATTCTTGATAAGGAAGGAAATGAAAGAGAAAGAAAAGTATATGTGTCTGCTGTAGATCCAGACCGCCATCCGTCTGTTCTCAGTCTAAAGTTGATTCCTTTCCCAGACATCCATGCTTGCTTTATAGATTCTTAATGCATTGACCCTCAGCACACCCTTGAAGCTGCTTCCCTGGCCAAGGGCAGATCCTCTACTTACCCTATTAAAGTCAGAGGAATGGCACCCAGTATTCAGAGAGACACCCCAGTTATTATTCTGTGATTTCCTCTAGTGCCAATAAAAACAAAATATGCAACCCGCTCAGTACCTGTAAACACCCTGTGATCCTTTCCTTCCTTGGACGTTAGCACTGGAAGGACAATGGTAAAGACTTATGTTTCCCTCAACACAGTGTTGGATGCAATTATATAATACTCAGTTTGTGAAGTGAACAGGGCTAGACTGCTGCAGATAGGTTATTTGGGAGCTCCTATCATAGGGGAAAGCTTTAAGAACTAGTGTGTTCACCTCCTTTAAACCTGCATATGAGCTCAAGATGTATAAAACATGCTGATTATTAGAACATAAATTCGAAAAATTTTAAGAAAATATTTGCATTAGGGAAGAACAGGCTAGGAGATTAACACTCCTTGCAATGCTAGAGGTTTGCCCATCTTGTCAGAAAAACCCAAGGTACAGAGCCCAGAGCAGACAGGCAGTGACTTCATCAGGAGACAAAGATAATGTTAGCGACCAAAGTGATACAAATTGTGTCCTGACAGTGCTCACCCGCAAATGCTTGGCTGTGCTCAGCAGCTGTGGGAATGGATGGCTGCACAGCTGGAGTCATCATCCCTGCACCTGCCCTCCTCACCCCTCTCCAACTTCTCAGTCCTGTGCTTGTTACACTCTAAGAGGGGACTAAAAAGAACCCACAACTCTGGCTTCTCACTCCCTTGGCCTGTATGGCCTCAACAACCTTTTTCTGGAATTGGGTTACCTTTGTTCACTTACAATCCTGGAATAAGGAATTTCCTTTTCTTCCTATAAATCATTTTCTGTAGTCTTCAACTTTCTAGCTAAAAGCTTAGGCGGCTTTTATGAATAGCAGCCTACTTGGACATGAAACAGACTTCTTCCAGCTGGACTCCTGGCAAGTTCTACAGGTGTTGCAAGTCACACGTAGAACGGCCGTTGTGGAATTCTTCTGGTGATTTATAGTCCCTGACCCAGGCGTATTGTCCTTTGAGTCCCCGATTAACCACAGCAGCTAACATTTGCATCAGACTATCAGAACCTTCAAGAAGTGACACAGTGTACATCTCAGAGCAGCGGTTCAGGGACTGTCTGATCTGTTCAGGATTGGTTGAGCAGATAATTGTGCACAGTGCTGGAATCTCATTAATTCTTAGCCTTACCACAGACATGCCCTACATTTCCCTCCTGGTTTCAGTATAATAAATACTTCATATATACACCAAGCTCTCCTAATGAAAACCTTAATTTTTAAAAAATGCTTCAAATGTTACACTGGAATTTTTCTCCCTGAATTGAAGAGATACAGCTAAAATATTAACAATAATCTAAAGGCAAGAAGTATATCTAGGGCTTCCCTGGTGGCGCAGTGGTTGAGAGTCCGCCTGCCGATGCAGGGGACACAGGTTCGTGCCCCGGTCTGGGAAGATCCCACATGCGGCAGAGCAGCTGGGCCCGTGAGCCATGGCTGCTGAGCCTGTGCATCCGGAGCCTGTGCTCCACAACGGGAGAGGCCACAACAGTGAGAGGCCTGCGTACTGCAACAACAAAAAAAGTATATTTAGATGGCCTCTGCTGCATACTTTTATGGTTTTATTTCAGGAATTGTTATTTTTCTCTATAATTAAACTGGGACTGTGTTTTTTATTTGAAACACAGCAGTAGAAATAGAATAATAACTCTCCTCTTCCCATAGTCATACCCAAGTTAGGAAGGTACTTCTTATGGTGACTTAAAGTTCTCTTTGTGTGTCTTCTTTCAAAATATTGTTATCTCTTTTATTAATTTTTGTAAGGTCAGAAAAGGAAAACTTCTACTATAGACATTATATCTTAATTGGGTTTAAGATCCATAAAATAAGTTAAATCCCCGGATAAAGACATTGTAACTCATTAAAATAGAAAACTTGGGCTTTGTTGTTTTTCAAAACATACATAACCAGCATCCTCCTTAGCTTTGTTAATAATAGAAGGAATGCAAATATGATGCATGAGTGCTGCCTCTCCCTGTCCTGTGTCCATGTCACATCACATGTACAGCATAGTGGCTGTCCCACCAGTTCCACCTGTGACCCCAGAGTCCTTTGTAACACAGTGTTTCCAGTAACTGCTGTCAGTAAAACAAGAGTTGGGATTTGAGTGAGACTCTGTCTACCATCCCTCAACTGGCATATGATCAATAATAATGTAACTTATTTGTGTTTGTATGTTAGAAACTAAATGAGGGCCCAGGATGGTGGCAGCATAAGGGATCTTGCTTGGAAGAGGTTTTTACCGTGTGGTTTTTGTTTGTTTGTTTGTTTTTAATTTTAGTTTCCTGAAGTGGGATCTGTATCCCAAAACTTAAGCTGATAGGGTTAAGTTTTAAGCCTGGACAAATATACTTCAAGCTGAAGTGTTTAATAATCCTAATATGAGAAGGTGAATACATCATTAAACCCTAATTCTAGAGCAGAATTCCACTGTCACAAAGCACATTTGTCTTCCTGGCTCCTTTCACCTCTGCCTATGTGTCACTGAGGAACTTGGGGTAAGCATCAGTATTATTCAGATCAGGGATCCCCACTGAAACCAAGGCCTCTTGGGGTGTGCTTCATGAGAAGCTGAGAGAACTGCAGTCTTTGTGAGCATTTCTTAATGCTTTGTATGACTTTTGTGCAATTATATAAGTTCAATTTGGACAAAATGCTGTTACTTTTTAAGGCCCTATTGACTGAAAGTAGGTATGTCATTTCCCAACAAGGGAAGACCATTTGTTACTGTCATTTTAAAAATAAACTATAAAACGATGTAAGAGTGTTTGGTTTGTGCATGTACGTGTGTGTTATTTTCAAATCTAGAGTTTATAGCTTTAAATGTGACAACAGTTTGTTTTACAAAGTATTTTATTTTACAGAGTATTCATTAACTACTGTCACAAAATCATGATAGCAAACGAGATAATCTTAGCAGTCATAGAAGGGGGAAAACCAATGGATTAGATTGACTCAAGGATCAAACGTATTAACATGGTGAATATACTTGATAACATTGTATTTTATAATTGAAATTTGCTAAGAGAATAGAACTTAAATGTTCTCACCAAAAAAAAAAAAAAGATAAATATATGAATTGATGGATGTGTTAATTAACTAGATGAGGGACATCTTTTCACAATGTATACGTGTGTCAAATCATCACCATGTACACTTTAAATATCTCACAGTTTTGTCAGTTACAGCTCAAGGAAGCTGGGGGAAAAAAGGCTGACTCTCCACAAAACTGACACATAGGTCTGCAGACAGCCCCTGTAGAACTCAAGACATTACACTATAGCCATGAGCATTTTATGAAGGGCAAATTTTGCAAAATTTTAAATATGTAAACTTTCTCAGCAAGCCATATAAAGAATCCTAAGTGTAAGCATCTCTTTATTTGTTTGTTTGTTTGGCTGTGTTGGGTCTTCGTTGCTGCGCGCTGGCTTTCTCTAGTTGCGGCGAACGGGGGCGACTCTTCGTTGCGGTGTGCGGGCTTCTCACTGCGGTGGCTTCTCGTTGTGGAGCACGGGCTCTCGGCGCGTGGGCTTCAGTAGTTGCGGCTCACGGACTCAGTAGTTGTGGCTCACGGGCTCTAGAACGCAGGCCAGTAGTTGTGGCGCAGGGGCTTAGTTGCTCCGTGGCATGTGAGATCTTCCCGGACTAGGGCTTGAACCCATGTCCCCTGCATTGGCAGGCAGATTCTTAACCACTGCGCCAATGCGGAAGTCCCCAAGCATCTCTTACTATTAGGAATCCTCTTTAAAATCTGGGGCTCTCTAAGATGTGCTCTCCAACATTTTTTTTTTTTTTTAAACAGAGAACAGGAGTATTTATTTATTTTTAAAATTTAGTTATTTATTTAGGGCTGTGTTGGGTCTTCGTTTCTGTGCAAGGGCTTTCTCTAGTTGTGGCAGGCGGGGGCCACTCCTCATTGTGGTGCACGGGCCTCTCACTATCACGGCCTCCTCTCTTGTTGCGGAGCACAGGCTCCAGACGTGCAGGCTCAGTAGTTGTGGCTCACAGGCCTAGTTGCTCCGCGGCATGTGGGATCTTCCCAGACCAGGGCTCGAACCCTTGTCCCCTGCATTAGCAGGCGGATTCTCAACCACTGCGCCACCAGGGAAGCCCAGCTCTCCAACATTTTTCACATCCTGGAACACATAAAAAGATATTTTTTATATGGCACAATGGAACAAACTTAAGGGGACTTAGAAATGTGTACATGTGACTTAGAGAAGAAAATTAATTACATACCCTTTATATAATTATAACCACAAATTCGTGCAAAGTTTTACAGGAATTTTTAAATTTGTATAACACTTCCAAAAGATAAATTTTAAAATGTCAATAAAAGACTTAGCTTCCTTTGGAAACATGACTTTTTGATAACAGGCTGAAGCACCTGCACACAATTCCTGATCCAAACTTTGTAGTGATATTGTCTTCAGATTCTTCATAATCACCATTTACAAGAAACTGTACAAGTAGGTGACAAGAAATTTAAAACCATTTTTATGATCATTCAAAAATGTGTAACTGGGGACTTCCCTGGTGGTCCAGTGGTAAAGAATCCGCCTTGCAATGCAGGGGATGCGGATTTAATCCCTGGTCAGGGAACTAAGATCCCACATACTGCGGGGCAACTAAGCCAGCGTGCCTCAACTAGAGCCCGCGTGCCACAAACTAGAGCCCACATGCCCTGGAGCCTGTGCGCCACAACTAGAGAGAAGCCCATGCGCCACAACTAGAGAGAAGCCAACGGACCACAACAAAGAGCCTGCGTGCCACAACTAAGACCAATGCAGCCAAAAATGAATAAAATAAATAATAAATCTTTTTTAAAAATAAAATAATTTTTTAAAATGTGTAATTGAACTGATGAATGGATAAATGAAACGTACATCCATCAGCAGATGAATGTATGAAACGTGGTCTATTCATACAATGAAATATTCAGCCATAAAAAGGAACAAAGCACTGATACAGGCCACAACATGAAAGAACCTTGAAAACATTCTAAGTGAAAGAAGCCAGGCACAAAAGGCGCATATTCTATGATTCCGTTTACATGAAATGTCCAGGATAGGCACATCCATGGAGACAGAAAGTAGATTAGTGGTTGCAAAGGGCTGAAGGCAGGAGGAAATGGAGTGACAGCTTACAGGTATGCTTTCTTTTTTAGGTGATGAAAATGTTTTGGAATTAGTGGTGGTAGCTGCACAACTCTGTGAGTATACTAAAAAACATTGGTACACTTTTAAGGGGAATTTTATGGTATATGAATTAAATTTCAATAATTTACAATTGAAACTAAATTTCAAAGACTCTAATAACTTCTTTTCGTTGACAAATGCAATGTGAAATTTTTTTTTTTTTGGCCTCCCCTGGCGGCATGTGGGATCCTTGTTCCCTGACCAGGGATCGAACCCACGCCCCCTACGTTGGAAGCGTGGAGTCTTAACCACTGGACCGCCGGTGAAGTCCCAATGTAAAATTTATTATAATGTGGATTTCCAATCAAATCGAAATCATTTCCATCAAATATTTCAAGTTAAGCTATAATTCACAGAACGTATGTGCATTTTTGGAACAGTCATCCTGCCTATACCTTTGACCACAGAGGTCAGAGGTGTCCAGTGTATGTGAAGCAGAGGGCGGGGCTGTCGAGAGCTGCACCTGCAAGGAGCACTGGCCCAGTCTTCACCCCCATGACACCCTTGGCCAGCAGCAACTTAGGCATTGGCACCTGAAACACCAACTGCTGCAGTGACTCCATGGCTCCCTTGTCTTTGATGAACAGCAGCATACTCAACACCTGCTGCTGAGCTGGGCCAGGTGGTCATGCTGAATATGACCAGGTGGTAGCACCCCTCTTGGCCATATTTCAGTGAGTCCACAGCTCATGGTGATACGGTGACAGGTAAGGGGGCTCTGGCTCCTCCAAGCTCCATCCATCTGGCCATCTTAAGGACAGGAGGGACCAGTATCTCCCAGCATACTAAATTCAAGGCACATCACTTAAGGTATTTAATTTAGGATTATAAAATCTAGAATTATGCTGACTAGAGCTTATTTACCTTGGACATAAAAATGTGTGGCACTATGTAAATATTGATTCAAATTTCCAGTTTTTAAAGCTCAGTGGTTCTGGATAGTTGCCACTAAATGCTGTCTTTCTTTTCCTAGCAACCTTGAGATTGGGAAGC